GGCTCGGGAGCGTATATCTATGTGTGTGTGTGTGTGTGGTTTACTCAAAAAAAAAGTACAATAAATATGTTGGCTGAACTAAGGAATCGTACACACTATCCACAGAGAGATGTCCTCACAGCAAATTGGAGCAGCTGACCTCCGAGGCCGCACAGTTCGTGGAGCGTGGCAGGAATTGTATGTGCTGCCAGGTCGCGTTAAAGCTGCACCAAAACGAAAGAGACAGAAACAAACGAGAGAGAGAGAGAGAGAGAGAGAGAGGGAGAGGGGGAGAGGGGGAGACATTAGTGAGCTGATGTGATAGCCAAGTCCCTAAAAGCACTTACAGATAGCGCTCGGCGAGCTGGCGCTCAACATGCGGCTTGATGCGCGCATAATCCTTGTCCGCAATCGTTGTACTGCAATGCTGCTGCATGTACGCGAGGGTGAAGAGCTCGTTTTCGTTGAAGGGACGCAGGCCGGGCACACGCAGCCGCCGGGTGAGTCCCAGCGCCTCATAGGTGACCGCCTGATCGATGCCAGCACCCTGGATGGCGCTGCCAGCATCGATGGCCGTCACAAAGCTGGTCAACGCTCGAGCCGCGGTGCGAGCAGCGCTCAGCGTGACATGGAAGCTCTTGAGGGCTTCCGGCGAGAAGCCGCGCAGCTCATGAGCGAGACGCGGCGGCTGTCCGGCTGACAGGCAGCTAACATCCGGCTGGGCGTATTCAATTTCTGGCACTGCATCGCTTAGATCCGTGCTCTGGGCATTGAACTGCAGCAGAAAGGTGGGAAAGTTGTTGATCAACGTCTCCAGGATGTCCGTGCCGATGCGCGCGAAGTTCACAGCGCTGCAAAAAGAGGGAATGAGGCAGGGATTAGAGAGACACGCAAAACTGATTGGCCTGGAATACACCTACACGGGATAGCGATAGTCGTAGTAGTTGTTGCTGACCAGCACTCGCGAGATGAGCAGCATGTTCAGCTTGTTCGAGTAGGCAATGGGCTGCGGATGATCCCGGGTGTACATCTCGGACACAATGCTGGCAAGGAAAGCGAGGAAATTAGTAAATCAGTTGCTCAAGATAATTTGTATTGGTCACTTACACATCCAGCATGCCCAAGGGCTTTAGCTTGTTCTCCATGCGCGATCGGCGAAATGTCCAAATGGACTCCAGGTGCTCCACGAAATTCAAATTGCTCAGCAGCAGATCGTTGTAGTAGTTGCTAATGTAGTCGGGCTGCTCGAGCACCTCGCTGGGTATGCCGAACTGTAGCCGCATTTCGGCTAGCTTCTTGTGCAGAAATCGCCGGGCTGTCGGCTCTAGCCAACTCGCCTGCGCCAGCGAATCCTGCAGCTGGTTGCGCAAACTGTAGAACATGAGCTGCAGGAATTTCTCGTTGCCAATCGTCTTGTTTAGGCCGCCGTTGGCATCGCCCATGCGGCTGTGGGACGCTGCCTCAAACTGCTGCTTCGGCGGCTGCTGCTGCAGTGCGTCCACCGCAAATGGCACCCAGTCGCGCACCACACGGCTGCAAAAGAGCCAACGCGGATAGCTGGCCGTGCGCCCATAGATAGTGTGATCAAAGTGCTCCGCCAGCGTGCGGTACTCCTTGGACAGATGCGGCAGCATTTCACGCGCCAGCGACCAAATTATAAAGTTGTTAATGGGTCTGCGCGAAAATAAAACAAAATATTATTAATCTATTTTATTGTTGAATCTCACGCTCAACTCACTTCTTGTCTGACGTCGAGATAAGCGTCGACAGCTCGTGAAATACTTCCACATCGCGCACCAGCACTTCCGTCTCCTCAGTGATCCTTATGTTGGTAAAGATGGCCTGTAGGGATTCCAAAATGGGTAGCTGTGCCAAAACGAAACGTTGTTATAAGAAATATATATATATAACTATACCCTATATTTTTAAGATATCTTAACAAAACAATCGTTAATTCAATAGTTCCTATCTTTTCCCACATGCAGTCCGTTGAGAGGAGAATAGTGTGCAGCCTATAAGAATAAGACAACTTGACTAAACCGACTTGGCTGGACGAATATACCAATTTATATACCTATATACTTTATGAAGTCGTAAATTATAATACCCTCCTATTTCCTAATAAATAGAACTCGTTTTGTATTAAGTGACAGAAATATTATTAGTTATGGATCGGATAAGGTGTATTGGAACGTAGGTCTATTTTATTTATTTTATAATATTTTTAAAGGACGTTAGCAATAAAATATAGTATGACCCACAAAGAGGAAAATTCGACTTATCATAGTTGTTTCTATCATATGATTATTGATTCCTTGATTATTGATCCTTGGGAAAATATGAAGTTTCATAGAGGCCTCTGCTCTCTGGTCGCATACAGGACACAGTCTAATATGATGTGAGTGTAGGCTTTGCTTGATGGAAGACGAAAGACACTGTGCGCATTCTCTGTGAATGTGCAGCCATATCTGGCATAGGAGGAAGCCGATCTTCTTCATCAATCGTACAGCTTCCCTTCAGGAGATGGAGCACTCTCAAGCCCAGATACCCCTTCTCTCTCTATCTGTTTTGAGAGACTCTCTTTAACATTATTAATAAGTATATCATACAATCAGTGAGTCTGCTATGAGACTCTCGATCCTTAGGCTGAGACGAATAAAGCCTGGCTAACGCTCACTGTGTCATTAAAATCAGGTATCATCAACAATAAGAATCATGCTTTATATGTATGCAGTTTTTGTAATACAGTAAATGATAATCGTTGCATTTGAAAATTATAAATCTGTCCTCATTGATTATTTGAAGGCCCTTTAGGACCAATTCTTAATTGAATGCCTTAGGGATTCGTGGCAGCCGTCTGCCTTTGGGTTTGGTTGGTGTCCAACATCTGCGAATCCCGGCTTGTGCACGTATGTTACGTATGCTTTAAACCCGTTTCGCTTCAAGGTGAGAGAACTTTCTGCTTTCTGATATTTGTCTTCTAATATTCCAAAGTGCTATCCACAAATTAATTAGTATGCTGCCAACTTAATTTGAAACTAGTTTTATTGATAGTAATTGGGAAATCACAGTAAGCGGCAGCTCCCGCTGACCCCGCGCGCGGTTGCCTTACCGATGGCGCTATGCTCTTGAGCTCGGCCAGGCGGAGCAGCTTGTTCTGCTGACGCTCGCCGCTGCCCTTGGCGGCCTCAATGTGATTGACAATGCGGCGCTCGTAGTAGAAGATGTCATCCGCAAATAGATCCGCCTCGCGCGCCACCATGCCTGTGAGGGGAAGGAAAGCGTGAATGAAATGAAATTGGACTGCAGATTGGCTGATCAAGCCGCGTTCGCTTACCCATGTTGATGGCAAAGTCGCGCAGGAGCTGCTTATAGCCGCGCACCACCTCCTCGTCGGCATCGGGGCCATAGAAGTACTTGTCCGGCAGTCCCAGCTGGCCCTCGTCCAGGGTTATTATGTAGTCGTAGGGCATGTTATAGCTGTTCTCCACGCTGACCCGATAGTACGGAAAGATGCCGTACTTGGCCTGCAGAAGCTTCAGGGCGCTCTTGTACTCCCAGTTCTGCAGCCGATTTGTTGCCGAAAACGCTTGCCAGCCACCTGAAAGGGGGCGAGAGGGGTGGTTGAGTCGAGAGTGGCAATTAGTGTCATGCGGTAATTCAGTATGCGGAGGAATGACCCATCGCATCGCTACCCCTGCAACAATTAGGGGGGGGGGGGGGGGGGGCTTGCGGTGGGTCTAATGAAATTCCACAGAAGCAAAAGACATGAAATTTGGCAAAACTTATGACAGCACTATATGCATATACATACATATTAGTGTATTTCGATCAGCCAAATGAATATCTTATGCATACGTGTCCATGTGTGTATGTATGTATGTATGTGTGCGTGTGTATGTGTATATGTGTATTTTTGGGTTTATAACAATTAAAAGCGCTAAAATGTTTGGCTGCAACGTCTTGGAAATCTCAGACCACTTCAGTCATGCAGTCATAAAAAAACACTATCACACAGTAACGACATTTGTATGCTCTATCAAATAAAAAGCCAAACGAACTAGTTTAGGAAAATTCAAATCTGTGAAATGAAAACTAAGCTACAGGAGAAACTACACAAGAAACCGAAATAAACATATGTAAAGACAAGTATCTAAAATAAGAGTTTAAAGTTGTAAAAAGGCAAGAGCTCTGCATAAAATGCTTAAAGCGATATGTTTTGGTCGTAATGTGGATAATATTAATTTTAATAAATTAAATAATAAATATTAGCTAGAGCTATACAAATTATCGATGGCTCGCTTTATGGTTTGAACCAGCTCCCTGCGTTGAGGTTCTGTTCGTGAACTTGGCCTGGCGAATGCAGGCTTCGGTTCAAATCTTGGTTTATCATATTTTTTCAAAATTGGAATACAAAAACTTCCGATCATAGCAACATAAATCTCTCCAGTTTCTATGGGTAAACCACAGATGTTCCTTGTATTCTTTCTTTTCTTTTATTCTTTTTTAACACAATTAAGTGCAAGTTTTTATGATCGCTTTAAAGATGTTTTTTTACTTGATTGTTGCATCTCTCCGTCGATCCATCTTCGCGCCACTTCCCTTCAAATATGTTAGTTTTTATGTTTTTATAAAATTATCTGGTATTTCGAGCACTTCACACAGCCCTAAAAGATCCATTTGTTACAATCAGAGATTTCATGGGTAAAGAACTTTACGGCTCAAATGGAAGTCTCGATCAGCCCATTGGAGAGGGGATTTCCGCGCTTGTCGGCTTTGGGCCGGCATGGCCAAGTGGCATCAGCCAGCTGATGGCGGCAGTTGGAGGCACTTTTGGACACACACATTGGGATCGATTGTGTCAGCTGTGTTTGCGGCATTAATTAGCGCCTGCGAGGCGAAAAACTAAAATCTAATTCCCCAGGTCCGTGCTAGCCGGATTTGTGATGTGTTATAGTTATATTTGATTTTAACAATTTATTGCAAATCAATGCGAGCAAATTAATTAACTTCAATTAAAGTCGCTCCAGTCTGGCGACACTCTCTATAAAAACTGAACGCCGTTGGCAAACAGGGCATCAATCCAGTGCAGCAGCTCCAGCGCTAAACTACAATCGAGTCCAGTCGCGTTCCTTGTGTAAACAGCATGAACAAATTTATGGTAAGTGAACGGGAGCCGAGCTGAGCGGAGCACAGCTGGAATGGAATCTAATCGGATCTGATGATGAATTATAATCCGCTTGCAGTTTTTGGCCTGCTTGGCAGTGCTCGGCTGCAGTCGCTGGGCAGCGGCGCGTCCTGATCTCAGCCGTCAGGCCTACCGCTACGAGATTGGCCAGAACGACAACATCGTGTCCCCGCCGGTGATCTCAACCACCTCGTATCAGCCAACGGCATCGGGCAACACCTACTACAACAATGTGCCCACTGTGGGTCAGCTGACGGTTGTGGGCAGCTCTGGCTTTGTGCCCTCCACCCAGGTGGGCGGCGGTCAGTACAGTGGCAGCAACACCTACACCACCACCGGCGGCGGCGGCGGCGGTGGCGGTGGAAGCAGCAGCATCAGCACCTCCTTCTCGAGCGGCGGCGGCGACGGCGTCGGCGTTGTGAATGATCATATTGGTCTAGCTGGCATCCATCCGGGTCCCACTGTCAACTATAAGGAACAGGAGGCGTACATCAGCCATTTGGCCAACTTCCAGCCACCGATCATTAGCAAACACTTCTATCTGCACACCGCACCCGAGGATCACGATGACCAGCAGATTGTGCGCTATGTGAATGTTGGCAGGCCACAAAAGAACTATCGCGTGGTGTTCATCAATGCGCCCGCATCCACGACCAGCAAGGCCAAGATCATTGCCAACGTGGCTCCAGTTGAGGACAAGACCGCCATCTATGTGCTGTCCAAGAAATCGAACGCCCTCGATGTCAGCGCCGAGGTGGTCACACAGCGTCCAGCCAACCACAAGCCCGAGGTTTACTTCATCAAGTACAAGACACCCGCGGAGGCGGCACATGCCCAGCAGACCATCCAGGGTAGGTCCAAGCAGCAGCAGCAGCCCCAGTAGATGTCACATTCAAATCTATCCCTCTCTCGCTCTCTCCCGCTCCTTTAGCCAACTATGACGCTTTGGGCGGCAGCTCGCAGCTCAGCGATGAAGGCATTGTGCCCGTCTCATCGGTCATCAACGCCCTGGGCGACAATGGTGCCTCTGGTGTTCTGGCCGATGGCTCCGGTGGCGTCAACATTGTTGGCACTGGCGGTGCTCCAATCGTCGAGACCACTGTCAACGGCGGCAGCGACAGCTCCGGCATCAATCTCCAGTACGACGTGAACGGCGGCAGCAGCAGCAGCAACAGCCAGACAACGACGCAAGTGGACAGTGGCAGCCTTATTGGCAACAATGTCATTCAGACCTCCTATCTGCCCTCCAAGCCCATCAGATCGGTCAAGTACTAAGCATGCAATCTCCTCATTTGCATTCTTCCAGCGACAACCCAGCTGATTGGACAGAAGACACACACACACACACAAAACGCCCGCCCGCCCGATTCTTGCTTCTAATTGAATAATCCAAGGCGATTATTTTCCTAGAATTTGTTAAATGTAAATCTTGCGATATTCATTTTAGATATTTTTGCGATCTATGCAAAAAAAACAAAAACTATATTTTTTTTTTCCACAACTTTTTTTTTAATAAACTTTAAGGATTTCTTTAAGCATTCAAAAAATGTAAAAATGATTTGAAGTTTTCTTTTTGTAGCAAAGAAGTGGGCAGAAAAGAGAAAACCTTGTGGAAACCTCAAGGAATCGTTGGGTATGTGATTCATTTATATGAACATATTCAAAATTATGCAACAAAAATAAACAAGATTATATAAGGTGCAAATAGTTTGGTTAAAATATCAACATCAGGTTTGAAAGTCAAATTATGGTTAAAAGCAGTTTCCATTTGATTTCAAAATAGAACGTTTTAGGACAATTTTAATTAAATTAACAAATAGCAAATTTGGTTGTGCCTTGCACCAGCTGGCGCCTAAATGCCCTATGCCCCCGCCCTGCCCGCCCCGTCCCCCCCACAACGAGGTCTAGTGTTTGGCAAGCTCTTCATAATTGTTCGAACTGCAACATCAAACGAATAAAACTTTAGAAAACTGAGCCGACTACCAACCGAAATCGATGGCAAATAAATTAGCGTCTTAATATAAAAAAAAAAAAACAGAAAAAGAAAAAAAAAAATAACAAAATAAGAAAAAACAAAGTCGAATCAAAATCAAATCGGAGAGCAACGCGCTGCAAGGTCGATTCGCCAATGCAACGCATTAAAATACCAGAAAATATTATATATACACATATATATATATATATTTATATCTATATATATATATATATATACATACATATCTATTATAAAAGCCAGATAGGTGCCACGCCCCGCGACAAACGCCCCAAAAGCGACGGCAACGAAAAATTTATGATCAAATATATGGATTACAACGCCAGCAGATGCTACCTGGTATTTGGCCTATGTGATTTGGTATCTGCATCAATATCTATATCTTGTATCTGAAAAGCATCTGCATATTAATGCGTCGCGATCTTTGCATAAAGATAATCACACCTACTAAATAAACGATACGATCTGTTGCCAGTCGCGCTGAGCCGACTCGACTCGACTCGACTCGAGCTGAGTTGAGGCGAGTCGCGTCGCGTCGCGTCGCACATTTGTCCCTCGGTTTTTACTGTCAGCGTTCATAAAAAGTTACATAAATTATTTGCAGAGGCTTTTTTATTTCTGGGCTTGATCGGCCGGCCGCATCGGCGAAGAGATATGGAATTATGGATATGGAATGCCTAATTGATAATTATCGTTTTGTTCGCCTTTGGTTTGGCTGCGTATAACTAAATTAGTGGATCGGCTGATAGATCTATCTCAATCTTGCGATCTTAGCTGGCATTCACTGTTCGGCGGGGATAGGCAGTTTAATGTGCGCTTATCAATCAGCAGCAGTCATCAAACATCAATCACGCGATCAGCTGGGCGTTGAGCCCGTAAATCGGTTCGCCAAATGCAAATCAATCGAGCTTCCACATTTACCCAAAAATTATGTTTTTGATGCGTTTATATGGCGCCGCTTTGTGGCGACCTCCAGGCCAGATTTATGTGTCGCACTCGCCTAGACGGCTGACTCATCAGAGCTAAATGTGTCTCTATTGCTGAGTTGTTGCTGAGTGGTTTAGGAGGCCACCATATAAGGCAACGCTCGACAACAAGAGCTGAAGAATAAACATAATTGGACATGCTATGGTTGCTATGGTTTGGAAAACCCAACTAAACAACGCTTTATATAGTCCATTATAAACCCATATCGATTGTTCAACTGGCCACAATAACTAGCTAAAGGTTTACAAAACAAAAACTACTTTTCCAGTCAAGAGAATTAACAGTCGAACAAGAAATTAAGTATCATATCGAGCTGCGATTATTTTTTTTCAGGAGATTTATATGAATATATGTAACTATAGATTTTCTTGAATAAACCTCCTTGCATACAGGATTTGTCATATAATTTTAGAATTTTTAATATTTTAATATGCACGTTGTACTGAAAATATTGAAAGCCACAACTATTTTCATATACAAAATGCGGGCTAAATTTGAGCTCTAGCCAAAACTGGTGTCTACCAAATATGGTTAGATATATCCAATTTATGAGCCTTTTTGCATCTCAATATATATATTTCGCAGATATCGGTTTTAAGGTACGTTTCGCAGTTAAAATCGATTTAAATTCTGGACGCAATTCGATTTGGTTAAATTATCTTTATATATTTCTCCATGTTCGCATTAAACTTCACATTCAATTCAAAATGTTTTCAACTTTGTTATTCCTTTCCCCTGTTACCTGTCTATGTATGCATGTAGTATATCAAGACGTTAAATACTTAATTTTTATCATTGATCATTTAAATACTTGCCTATATGACCCAATTGTAGAGTTGCCACCCTGCAACGCTTCCCACGTACGGCAACACTTAGAAAATTTAAACATCTTTTTAAAAACAAAGTTTTATTTAAAGAAAAATAAATTTTTGCATATCCTTTAAAGCTTGTTGGGCCCGGATTTAAATTTAGAATTTAGAATAAGTAAAACGTATCTATAAAAATAGTTTATTATAGAATTTTTGTTATATAGTATATATATAATATAAATAGCGTGGTTTAGAGACTTGGGGATTATTTATAAAATGTTAAAGTATGGAAAATAGTTATATGTATTTCTTCTTGTTAATTCAAATGGGCGCAGACTATCTGAGATATGGCTACTATATATATATATATACAATCACATCGTGTCATTCATATTGAGATGATGTATGAAATCATCTTTTAACTGTTTCAAATTTGCAAGTTAATCGATCAACTATGTGATGGGCAGGCCAGCATTGCTCTGGGGCAAAGAAAAACCCAGCAAACTAGTTTCGTCTCACAAATTTGTCCGATTGTTTGGTGGTAAAATGGAGGCCTAAAGTCGAAAGACTGAGAGTTGTCATGTTCAGGTGCCATTTAATCAGATGCAAACGGCCAGCAAAGCCTACAAACCTGGCAAATTTTCTGTATATCGCGGGTCTATTAATAATCTAAGCTCACAATAGATGCCAGCGCAACAGTCAAGTTCAATGCCTAAGCTGCCAAAAAATATATACAAGCCCAGATGTACGAATATATAGATATATATATATATATACACAAAACAGATACGAACCGAACATACAGAGACAAGCGGCTTTTGTTATAGAGATCTATGAGCTTTATTCAAAATGTAAACCATGGCTACGCGGCGCGTACAAGAATCAGCCACGCCCCATTTTGAGTGTGCTGCTGAGTCAACTGGCAGAGGCGGCGCATCTGTGAGATACATTTGTGCATTCGAGAGATTTGAATAAATTTTTGGATAGCATTCGATGCTTGAGCCTATCTTGAAAGTTTGAGTCTTGAATGTTAAATTGTTATTGCTTGGCCAGCCAAGCTGCGCTGGCTGATTTACATAAATTACAACAACAATTCAAGCCAAATGATTGCGCCGACAGCGCAGCCGGCAGCCGATCTGGGAAGCGGCAGCGCATATAAGTCAAGTGGAGCGACAAGAAATGCAAGCATTGCCCCAAAGCAATCCAAACCTAAACGTGCTCAAACGAACGCGACGCGATACCAAATATCCATATATATCCGCATCAGCAACACTCGCAGCAGGATTACCCAAGGATAACCCATACGAAACATTTAACAATGCATTCCATAACGGCTCCAATTGTGCTCGGCTGTGTCGCCGCTTTGCTGGTCGTGGCCCAGGCCCGTCCTCAATACGGCTATGAGCAGCCGCAGCCTGGCGATTTGCTCGTGGGCGGCGGTGGCGTTGGATTGCCCAATGGCGGGCAGTTCATAGGTCAGCTGCCGGTGCCACATCGCGGCGGCGACAAGTATTTGCCACCAGCTAGCACGACGCCAGCGCCCATCATCAATAAGAAGTTCTATTTGGTTTCGGCCCCTGAGGATCGCAGCAATGATGGCAAAGTGAAGCATTTGGTGCTCGGCAGGCCGCAGAAGAACTATCGCGTGGTGTTCATCAAGGCGCCGGCTGGCGACAATGCCAACGTGAAATACTCGGCCGAGTTTGCGCCACAGGAGGAGAAGACTGTCATCTATGTGCTGAGCAAGAAGGATAACGATCTGGATGCTGGAGATATTGCAACGCCCGCGCCCACACAGCCCAGCAAGCCGGAGGTGTTCTTCATCAAATACAAGACCGACGACGAG